GTAAGAGAAAACAGATTTCTATAATAAATTAGGAGAATTTAAATTTATTTTAATTTTTCTATTGAGTCTAATATTCTATTTATTAGTATTTTTTAAATTTTTATAATATGCAATTCATTATTTAATGAAAGCTATCACATATTTTCATATAAGGAACACCCCAGGGTTCCAATCAATTTTATTTAATTTAGGAATGATCATTATATACATAAATCCACATGTGTATTATGAATTGGATTTATTTAAAATTCTCCTATATTTAATAAATTATGAACTTTTGAAAAACATGCATATTTGTCCCATTCCTCTTACCATATTGGGTACAGTTGTTCACTTAAGGTACAGTTAATTTTCCTTTTAGTGGCTGTTTTTGTTTAGATTTTTATTTATATAGTCAGACACTAACTTTTAAGCTTTGGTTAGGTCTGTCTAATATATATATCTAATATGTCTAATATCTGGAGCGTTTCCCCCAGAGCACTATAAATCTGCAATGAGAAGGAAGTATGAGCAAGCAAGTAAGAAAAACGTCCAGGAATGAATCCGTGCTAAAGATTGCACACAACTGAATATTTTGCATTTTAAGTTATTCTTATTATGTTATCTCCAAAGGGTCAGGCATTAAGTTTTAATTTACCCTGATGACCTTAATCAGATTTGTTTCAGATTTATGAGGACTGTAAAATTAGGAAACTTTCATTAAAAAAATTAAACCCCCTGGATGGCTTCCCAAAGCACATCCAGCATTACTTACGACTTTATTATTTCAGCTAGTTGGATACATCATAACCACAGCTCTAGCCAGGTCTGTAAGGGTTCTGTGACTGACGCCTAATGGAACCAATTTTCACTCTGGCAGAACAAGTTCAAGTTCTAATACTAACTTGAATCCTAGTTTCCTGTGAATGCCAGGAACCAGATCCTTGAAGAAGAAAATGTATCAGAGCATCTGCCTATTTAGCGACATTCCATTTATTTCATCTAAATAGCTCGCAGGAACAATTGACTAAAATCAAATCTAAAATAGAAAACAAATAGTTTTTTAATTACTGAATTTCCTTTATTCTTTTTTTAGTCTTCTTTCCCTCTTGGCCTCAATTTTCTACAAAATTCCCCTATTTCCACTGAGGACCAGAGAGAGCTTTTTAAAACAGGAACAAATGTTTCAGTGCACTCACTCACCTACACTAACAACCATATTACAGTCACAGTTCATTGACTGTCACCCGCCCACATTTTTATTACCCTACATCTGATGAACATTGATGCACTTGGGTTTCTTCCTTTGCACTGGAAGGAAAAAATAATAATTTAGATAGAATTCTAAGAACTTAGCATGTTTTGTCAATAGCTTCATTGTTCCTTGTGTCCATTCATCACATCTTGCTTGCTACTGAATTCTTTCCTTACTTTCCAACATTATTAAAGTCAGTCATTATTAAAGCCATCCCAAAAAGAGATGGATACTTCTGTAACTTCTAGGATACTGTCAACTAAGAATCATATTTTCAACACTTCAAATTTTATTGTATTTTCAAGCTTCGGGAAAATGTAATATTCTTGCATATTTCCTAAGATGGAATTTCATGTAGACAAAATGATGTGATAGGAAAGATGAGGCTTATCTAATGATTTTGGCATTGCCCCTAGATAACTGTGCTCCTCTGAGAAAAGCAGCAATGGTTTTCTTATTATCAGAGCACATTAAAGAGCACGTTCTGAAGTCCTACATGTCTTACGTTTGAGAGAGAAAAATCACCGAGAAAACAACAGTTATATTTGTATTCATCTAGTTCCATTAAAATATACTTTGGGCACTCTTTTTTTTATAACAATTTTATAACATATATTCTACAAGACCACTTAACGGATAATTGTATTTTAGTTTTATTTTTCACAAAAGTCAGGTTCAATTAAAGCTTTATGAAAAGGCTAAAAAGTATTCCACAGTTTCTAATTTTCCAACCCCTCCTTCAGTAGGAATGACTTAGGTAATTTGATCCAGATAGTTTGTTGTTGGAGCTCAATCTCAGTGAATAAGCCTCTCTAACTAGAATATGCATGTTTTAGTCATTTTCAATTAATATGAAGTAGTTTTGCCAAAATATAACTGTAAATGGGAAGCCATTATTCTGAACATTTGGAAACTATAGTTTAAAAAAATTATTTGTTGATATTTGATATAAAAATACTATTTGAGCCACTCATTAATGCTATTTTCCATTAATCACAAAGAAATAAATTCAAAGCAAAGATAATTGTTTTATTGGTTTACCAAAGATCCCTGATGAAATGCACACACCACCAAGAACAAAAGTTAGGTCCTCAACGTGTTCCAAATTTCAGTGGAAACAAGACATGGGCATGGATTTATAGATGATACATTACAGGCTGACTAGGGAAAAGTCTGCACGTAATGTATATTCTGTGTGTGTGTCCATGTGTGGGAACGAAAGCCAGAAAGAGAGGGGAAAAGAGCCACAGTCGTATAATGGTTCTCTCTCTTAGATTTATTAATGGGGAATGGAGAGAAAGATAGCCCAGGACTCTTCTCTCTGGTGACAATACAATACTAGGGGAAAAATCAGGCGTCATATGTAATTTACTATAGAATTGCTTGTCTTAGAAATAGACTAGGGGGAGTACAAACTCTGTTGCATGTGCATACGTGTACAGATACAATACACACATTTTCTCTTCTGAAATTTTTATTTCAAATCTGCTTTAAATCAAAATGAGTTGAGCTCAGTCTGGGGCTGGTGAGAAAGAACCTTCTAAAAATTTTGCTCAACCCAGCAAATGCTTTAAAAGTGAACTAATGAGCAGTATCTCTTAGTTCCCTAACCATGCTCCAAGAAAGACTGGCTCTCGGTATTTTGATTTAGAAAGAAGTGCTCGGGCTTTTAAAGAACAAAGAAGGAAAGCCTTCTCCATCCTTCCTTTCCTCCCTTCCTCTCCACAATCTGACCACTCCATTTTTCCCAGTTTTTCTTTTTAAATAAGGTCCGTCTCCTTTCTTTTGCCTTCCTACCCTCCTTGTACGTCCACGACCACTAATTTGACTAAAAAGGATTTTCCATGAAGGACCCTTCTTAACACATAGGACCTTTCTTAACACATCAACGTGATAAGTGGACAACCACTATCTTGGGACTCGGCCCACCTGACCCGGGTGGTCTCCCCCGTACCCCGCCCTCTGCTCTCCTGCTTCTCCGGCGCCTCCCCCGGGGGCTGAGCACCCCCCGGCAGGTCTCGCGGCAAGTTGAGAGCTTGGTCTGGCGCCGCGCGGTGTGGCCACCAACTTCTGCTTTCCCCCAAGGAAAACTGCGAGACTCGAAGCGCGTCGGCAAGTGCTTCTTGTGGTCGGCTTGGGGTCTCCGAGCCCCCGGACTGGAGGCCCAAAGCCCTCCTCCTCCCGCGCCTGGCGTCGGGGGAACCTGGGTCTGGGGATAATTCAAAGCCCTCGGAGCCCCCAACACCCAAGCACCCACATCTGCCCGAGCGAGAAAGCGCAGGGTGGAGCTTGCAGGGCTCGTATGGCTTCGGCGTGACCCGTGGAGAGACGAGATGCGCGTGGAGACCCAAGAGTTGGGGGAAGAGGGTGGTGAGAGGGCCCAGTCCAGGCTGCCCCTCGCGCTGAGGGCGCCGCCAGTCCGGACCTCAAAGGGAGCAAACGAGCGCGGAGCCGTTTCCCGCTTCACCAAAGAGCGGGCTTTTCTTTGAGAAGGAAAAACACAGGGAAAGTCAGCTCGCGCGCTTGTTTTGGTTTTTCGTCTGTTTGCCTCCCAATTAAAAAGTGGCCGGCTAGGCGACAGCTTTGCGGTTTTCACAGTGTAAAACGGATTAGAGGGAAAGCTCCAGCCCTTCTCGACTTTCGCTTGCGGTTTGCAACCCCCGGGGAAGGCGTGACCCTGCGGCACCTGCCGGGGCGAGCTCCTCCCGCTGCGGCCCGACCTGCGGCCTCGGCTTCCCTGGGGCGGGGCCCGGCAGGGCGGAGCCGAGGCTGCGCGTCTGGGGGAGTGGGGAGTGGGGGGTGGGAGGGGGAAAGCCGGTTCCCTCCTTGCAGGTAAACTTCTTGCCCCGGGCCGGCACCGCCTCCCCTCCCCCACGCCCTCCCGGCGCCGGGACCTGAGCTTTCCTCTGAGAGTCCGGATCCTGGGTGTGCGGAAATCCTGTGACAACCCCTGGGGGACCCCTCTCCAAGACGCGGAGGAGGGAAGAGCAAAGAAAAGGAATTTACTGCAGATGGCACCGGAACCGGAGTTGGTTTGTTCGTGCCCTGCTCGATGCTCGTAGGTTTTCCCCAAGAATCTCGAATTCGCTGAGGTCACTTATACCCAAGAAACGATGAGTTCACACGCACACTCTTTAGTTAAAAGGGAAAAAGGAAAGAAAGAAGAACTGCTCTTCGATCCTCTCCACGTTCCTTGCTTTCACCAAATAAACAAAGCATCCGGGCGAGTGTGGGCTGAAGCCGGGGGCGCCGGAGGTGCACAAGGAGAGGTTCCCTGTGGGCCCGCCGCTCCTCCCCGGCCTCTTGCACCGGCACCTGCCCAAGAGTTTGCGGGGTGTGGGCGCTGAATGCGATTCCGGGACCGGCCAGGCTCATCCTGAACACTTGGATCTGAAAAGCCCATGGACAGGTCACCAACCCCCGGCGACCCTTTCCTGGTGGCCTTCTGCTTTTAATAAACGAAAATAAAAGTTTGCTTTCAAGTTAAAGAAACGCCGTTTTCGTCTTTCAGCCCTGACGCGTGACTTACGCCTCTTTTTATACCAGCAGGATATTACCAATGGTGATTGTCGAAATCGATACCGGGGCATCCGCGGACGAGGACCTGCAGGTAGTGGGGCCAAGGGGGTCAAGGAAATAGCAGTAGGAGCCAGCAGCCTCCGACCGTTCTGGACTGCCAGGCCCACTTCTCGAGGGAGACTCCGCGGGTGGAAGCATGGTTGCGGGAGAGCCGAACGCGCGGGTGGGGAACTAGGCCGGTTCCACCTTAAAGAGTCGGAGCGGCGGCTGCAGAGGCGCCCGGCACCTGCAGGGGGCGCTGCTGCCCCGCGGTTCCGCCCGCGCCGCGGCGCGCCGCCTGCCTTGCGGCTCCCGGGCCGCAGTCCCTGGAGGGGGTGGGGACGCTGGGGGAGGAAGGGAGCGAGTGCAGCCGTTAGGTAAGGAACCCGAACCCTCCCGGATTCTGAAGCGGCCTCAGTGAGGCGTTGGCTGGAGGGAGCTTTTCCGTCATTCGGCCGGGAGAGGAAATGTGGCGAGGCGTCCTCCCCTGCCCCCACCGCCTGCCTTCCTGCCTCCCTGCACCTCCGCTCCGCGACCCCGGCCGTGCTTCCCAGACCCTTTGTTCTCGAGGTTGGGAGCTCCTGGGTGGGGGTTCCCCGGGAAAGAGGTCCCCCTGCGCCACTCAGAAGGGAGGGGACTCTCGCCTCGTCCCCCGCCCCAGCCCTCCCCAGCCGAGTCCCCCTGGCCCCCGGCCCCCTCTCCTTTTCGACCCGGAGTCCCCCAGCTCCCGCTCCCAGGCCTTCGCCGTCTGTTTACCCGCCTCCCTTCCCACTTCGCCGCCGCTCCGAGGTCTCCGGGAAGAGGGTGGGAGAGGCAGACGCGAGGAGGAGAAACCACGTTGCCACGGCGGCACGGAGAATCCCCGGGGACACTGTCAGGC